TGGGTTGTGCCTGGGTGTGTGTCCACCTGCCACTGCTGCACCAGGTCCGTCGGGGTCTTGCCAGCCTGCAAGAGTGGGCAGAGAGAGGCTGGGGCTGGGGTTGCATGATATGGTGGGGCAGCAAATGGCCCCGGCGCTGGAGCCTCGCTCACCTCGTTCTTGGCCATCATGTCAGCCCCATGCAGGATCAGCATTTTGATGATCTTGTAGCGGCTGAGCTGTCCACCTGCCACTGCTGCACCAGGTCCGTCGGGGTCTTGCCAGCCTGCAAGAGTGGGCAGAGAGAGGCTGGGGCTGGGGTTGCATGATATGGTGGGGCAGCAAATGGCCCCGGCGCTGGAGCCTCGCTCACCTCGTTCTTGGCCATCATGTCAGCCCCATGCAGGATCAGCATTTTGATGATCTTGTAGCGGCTGAGCCGTGTGGCATCGTGCAGCGCCGTGTCACCTTCCTGCAAGAGACGCAGCCTGGTTGGGGATCGTGATCCAGTTCTGGGGACAGGGACCCCCTGTGTGTCCCCAGCACTGCTCCCCAGCCCCCCGCACACCCATATCCCCATGAGGACAAGGGGGACGGTGCCCACCCCAGCTGCAGGCAGCTGCCAGGTGTGTGTCTGGACATGCCCCGCTGCAGGTGTTGGGAGCCCCCGGAGGGGTCAGCCAAGGGAGGGGGGATCAGCGTTGTCCCCATCAGTGCTGGTTGCCTGGCCACAGCACTCACTCTATCTGCCCCCCCACAGTGGATGAGGTGCTCCACGATGTCAGGATGCCCGGTCCGGGTGGCCACATGGAGGGGGGTGCTGAGCAGCTTGAGCAGAGAGGAGATTGACACCAGAGAGGATCAGTACCCACCCCTGCTAACCCAACACAGGGCCAGCCCTGGTCCTCTGGGGCATGCCCGTGCCCCCAGCACACCCCTGTGCCCCCCAGGATCTGCCCTGCACACCTTGTCCTTCAGGTTGAGGTCTGCCCCACGGTCCTGCAGCAGCTTGACAGCATCCAGGTGCCCACCCCGGCAGGCCCAGTGCACGGCGGTGCAGTCCAGCTGGGCACACAGAGCCACGTCACGGCAGGGGACACCCCCATCCTGTG